AGTGGGGTCAGCACTGGAGATTGGTCCCACCACCCCGGGGAAGTGCCGATGGGTGCTACCAACCTGCAGGAGCTGGCTGGCCGACCACCGCGCCTCAGGGCTCTTCTCCAAGGATTTCCTCAGGAAGTCCTTGAAATCTTCAGACCTGTGGGATGGTCCCTGTGAACACGGGGCCAGAAGCTCCCTGTCACCCCCACTGCAGACCCCACAGACCTTGGGGTGATGATGCTAGGGGCACCCAGGCAGGAGGTCCCCACCCCAGTGGTGTCACCTTCTGCAGGCAAAGCTGGTGTGATGGGTGGCATGGTACCACCTCTGGAGCTGGGCTTGGAGGAATCATGACTAGCATCACTTGTGGTCCAAGAGCCCACACCAGTTGCCCAGACGTGGCTTTAGAGCAAGAGCTGCCCTATGGGACAACTTCTCCCACCGTCACCCAATGCTGGAGTGACTTCTCCATACGGGGACTCACCACTTCTTGGGGTGACGCAAGGTGGGCGGCTGGGACTTGGCGATCTTCAGCAGCACCCGGAGGGGGTTCAGCTCATGGTAGGGGGGCTCCATCTCAGCCATCTCAATCAGCGTGATGCCCAGTGACCAGATGTCAGCCTTGTAGCTGTAGGGGTTCTCCTTGGACGTCTCACACTGCACCACCTCCGGGGCCATCCTGAGCAATGGGACAGAGGGGAAGAGGTCCAGTCTGTCCCAGGCTGGGATCTCCCCCTGAAACCAAACCCTCTGGAGACAACCCTACAGGCAGAAGATGTGAGATGCAACCTCAACTCTTCCAACGCTACCCCAGGAAGGCTTCCACCCACCAACACCCCAACGTGTCCTCCCCGTGCTACTGAGAAGCCAACCCTGGAGACAATGTTGGCCAGAAGAGGAAAGATCTGGTTTCTTGAGGTGCTCCTGGTGTCGAGGAGCCTGTTGTGAGGACCCGCAGGAGAAGCAGCACACGTGGGGTCCACCATCCCACCTGCCTGCGCTCTTGAATCCCACCATCCCCAGGGAATTCCTGCCCCACACCTACCAGTACGGGGTGCCGATGAAGGACACTCGGCGCTGGACGGTGCTGGAGTTTTTGGCCGAGACACCAAAATCAGCTGCAGAGCAGAAACCAGCAGTTGGAGAGGATCCTTGGGGGCGAAGCCCCCCCTCCAGCCCCACCTCTGCCCCAGGGGACCCCGATTCCCCCAGGACTCACCCAGCTTGACGTCCCCGTCGAGGGTGAGGAGGACGTTTCCAGCCTTCACATCCCTGTGGATGATCTTGCAGCCGTGCAGGTACTGCAGCGCCAGGAGCAGCTGCTTGCAGGCCGCCCGGATCTGCTCCTCCGTCAGCCCTTTCTCCAGCTCTGCCATTAGCGCAAACGAACCCCGCCGCTAACGATGCCTCCTGCCCAGCACCCCCCCACACACACCAAACCGGGGAGGGAGGTGGTGGTACCCAGAGGAAGATGCACCCCAACCCATCCTCCCTCCTGCAGACACCGCACAAACCCGGGATGTGAAATTTGACAATCCCATCCCAAACCCTCCGATGGAAAAAAACACGTTTATTTACCCAAAATCGCTGCATCCACGGCCCCTCCGGGACAAAACTCCACCAGGATCTGCAGGGAGAGGTTTCCAACCCAGGTCTGAAAGCGTGTCCCCTCCAGAGTGTGTGTGTGTCCCCCTCAAGCAGGTGGTGGCACCCCAAGGTGAGGTGGTGACCACCACCCTCCTCAGCTCACCCAGAGCCGCCCGTTCCAGTAGAGCGCGTCCAGCAGCTTGGTGATGTTGGGGTGGTCGCAGCAAGCCAAGATCTCGATCTCCACCACGTAGTCCTCCAGCTCCTCCTCGCTCGGGGTCTCGATCACCTTGGCGGCCGCCAACGCCCCCGTCACCTTGTTCTGTGCCTGGGATTGGGGAGGGAAAGGGTAGATTTCACGGGGGACTTGTGGGGGACACAAGGAGCAGCCCCACAATTTTTGGCGAGGGGGAAGCTTGGACCCATCACATCCCTCCCCAGGTGCTTGGTGCCACCAAGCCAAATGCCGGGGATGGACATGAGGACCTCACTGTCCCCAGAGACAGGAAGGAAAGGGATTCTTGGCCACCCTGTGCATGGGGCTGACGTGCAGGTGGCCCTGGTGTGACCGTGCCACCCTGTGCTTGGGTTCCAGAGCATCCCCCTAGATCCCAAACCCTCTTGGTGGGTCCCAGAGCATCTCACTGTATCCAAAACCTTTTGTACAGGTCCTGGAGCATCCCACTGTATCCCAGAACCTTCTGCTCCTGGTGTCACCATGCCACCTTCTGCTTGGGTTCCAGAGCATCCCACTGTATCCCAAAACCTTTGTACAGGTCCTGGAGTGTGCCACTGTATCCCAAACCCTCTTGGTGGCTTCTGGAGCATCCCTCTGTATCACCAAACCTTCTGCTCCTGGTGTCACCATGCCACCTTCTGCTGGGCTTCCAGAGCATCCCCCTGTATCCTAAACCCTCTTGGAGGGTCCCAGAGCATCCTGCTGTACCCCAAAAACCTTCTATCCCCAGTGGGTCTGTACCACTCTGTGTGTGGGTCCCAGAGCATCCCCCTGGATCCCAAGCCCTCTTGGTGGCTCCCAGAGCATCTCACTGTGTCCCAAACCTTTCATACAAGTCCCGGAGCATCCCACTGTATCCCAGAACCTTCTGCTCCTGGTTTGGCCATGCCACCTTCTGCTTGGCTTCCAGAGCATCCCCCTGGATCCCAAATCCTCTTGGTGGGTCCTGGAGCATCCTGTTGTATCCCAAACCCTCTTGGTGGGTCCCAGAGCATCCCACTGTATCCCAAAAGCCTCTGTGGGTCCTGGAGCATCCCACTGTATCCCAAACCTTTTGTAAAGGCCCTGGAGCATCCCAGGACTTTCTGCTCCTGGTGTGGCCATGCCACCTTGTGCTTGGGTTTCAAAGCATCCCCCTGGATCCCAAATCCTCTTGGTGGGTCCTGGAGCATCCCACTGTATCCCAAAACCTTCTGCCCCCAGTGTGCCCATACCACTCTGTGTGTGGGTCCCAGAGCATCCCGCTGTATTGTGAAACCTGTGTATAGGTCCTGGAGCATCTCCCTGGATCTCAAACCCTCTTGGTGGGTCCCAGAGCACCCCCCTGTATCCCAAACCTTTTGTAAAGGTCCTGGAGCATCCCACTGTATCCCAGAACCTTCTGCTCCTGGTGTGGCCGTGCCACCTTGTGCCTGTGTACCAGAGCATCCCCCTGGATCCCAAAACCCTGTGCCTGGGTCCCAGAGCATCCCACTGTATCCCAAACCCTCTTGGCGGGTCCCAGAGCATCCCACTGTATCCCAAAAGCTTTGTACAGGTCCTGGAGCATCCCAGTGTATCCCAGAACCTTCTGCTCCTGGTTTGGCCATGCCACCTTGTGCTTGGGTTCCAGAGCATCCTGCTGGATCCCAAACCCTCTTGGTGGGTCCTGGAGCATCCCAAACCCTCTTGGTGGGTCCCAGAGCATCCCCCTGTATCCCAAACCTTTAATACAGGTCCTGGAGCATCCCACTGTATCCCAGGACCTTCTGCCTCTGGTGTGGCCATGCCACCTTGTGCTTGGGTTTCAAAGCATCCCCCTGGATCCCAAATCCTCTTGGTGGGTCCTGGAGCATCCCACTGTATCCCAAACCCTCTTGGTGGCTCCCAGAGGATCTCACTGTATCCCAAACCTTTTGTACAGGTCCTGGAGCATCCCCCTGGATCCCAAATCCTCACAGCTACAGCGAAGGTCATCACGGGGGGCTCAGCAACCCCTTCCCAGGGACCTTTCGGTGGTGAAACCCCAACCCTCGAGTGGTGCTGAGGGATTCAGTCGCCCCGAAAACAGCGGAAAGAAGAGAGGGGATGAGTTTGGCCACCACAAGCCCAGCTGGGGCCAGCCCCATCGCTGCCGAGTGCCACCAGGTGCCGGAAGGTGGCTGCTGCCGTGGCTCTGCCGAGCAGCAAATTGGGGTTTCCTGTCGCGCTCGGGCCCAGCACCGTGGTTTTCAGAGAAAAACATCCCCCCTCTCAACCCCCTCGCGCCACCCAAGGGGGCAAACACCCCCCGGTGAAGGGGCCAGCGCCGGGACCCGGCGTCTCTCCCGGTGCCACGGTCGGGGACGGGGCTGAGCCATCCCCGGGGGCAGGACCCCACCATCCCCGGTGAGAAATTTGGGGCCGTTTGGTGGCTTTTTAGCATCTCGCACGCCGGAAGCTGCACACGATGCAAGGCAACACAGATAAAATAAAGCATTTGTAAAGCCCCCCAAGGGTGCCGGAGGGGTTTTTGGGGCTGGGGAAGGGGTTTTCCTACCTTAAAGACCTTGCCAAAGGCGCCATCGCCCAGTTCTCCCAGCACCAGCCAGGCCTCCTCGGGGTCCACGTCCCGCCGGAGGTGCTGGTACTGCCTGGGTGGCTTCTTCTTCTCCGAAAAGCCAAAAAGCCGCCGGAGAAAAGCCATGGGGCCACCTCCATGCAGGGGAAAAAAGGGGCTCGAGCTCTTTCACCTTCGCTGCCCCTCAGTGGTGGCGGCTTCTTCTTCTTCTTCCTCCTCCTCCTCCTCCTCCTCGGCGGGCAGGAAGGGGCTGAGCGCTGCCCCCGGACCGCGCAGGATGTGTCGCGAGGTGGAGGTGCCCCAAAAAAAAAAACAACACCCCAGATGATGCTCTGACTCCGTCGCATCCCCATCCTTTTTTTTTTTTTGGGGGGGGGGGGCTCAGGATGGGAAAAGAGGGGGCCGTGCCCACCCCAAAGGCACTGCCTGCCCCCCCCTGCACCCCCACCCAAAGGCAAAGGTGCTGCCTGCACCCCCCCCAGTGTATAGGGGTGTGTATAGGGTGTTGGGTGGGTGTATATAGGGGTGGGTGTATATAGGGGTCCTGGGGGGGGTCCTCGGCAGATATATGGTCCTTTATGGTCCTGGGTGCTCGTATCAGTGCCCACCACCACAAATTTATGGATCCCACCCACCACACAGCCCTGGCTGGGCTTAAATAGGTCCCCCCCGGGGTGCTGGGACACCCCAGATGAGGTTGTTAAGCTTTATTAGCGCCCCCACTAATTAAATCTCCCCACAAAGACCCCGGTGGCACCGCTTCGGCAGAGGGAAGGTGCTGGCACTCCGTTTTGCAGCCATGGGGCACCCAAAGCCCCCTCTCCCCCCCCCCACTAGCACCCAAAATTA